TACTTTTGAGAACTGCTAAGGACTAGATTATTTTTATTATGCCCTGATATGTAAAACCATAGAACTCCAAGAGGGTGTACTTTCTTTTTCACACGACTGTACATGTACTTGGAACCTACAGCAAGACAAAGATCCCTAATGAAGGTAACTTAAACTGCTTTCTATGTCAGAATTTTGTCAAAATTGATGTAGTTCCTACTTATAGATATTTTGAATTCATATTGTCCAGGTCTAAGATGACTGCTTAAGTTTTACTGTAAGCTTAAATTTGTTTCTTCTCTGGAGAAGCAATTTGTTTTTTTATCCAAATGTAGGACATTGTAATAGTGCTAAAAGGATTTGCTGAATAAAACTTATATATATTCATCTCAGATATATTGGATTAGTACCAAATTAAAACTGAATTCACAAAAAGCTGCCCTATTTGGGAAGCTAGGCTCGATCCAAACTAAGTTTTGCATCCTGCATTAAAACTGAGAGAGCAACAGCACATTCAGATAGGATGAGGTAAAAGAGACCAACTGGCTCAAAGTCACCCCATGAACACCATGGCTGAGTTCTACTACACTACACAGGCAACACTACAGTAGGCATTAAAAGAGAACACTGAAAGTTCAGATAGAATTTGAAGGGTTGCCCAGTTACTGTTTGCTGGGTATATGTCCTTACCTGTACTTGAATCGAAGTTTCTGGATTATTTCCTTCATTTTGTTCACTTGTTCTTGATTAGCTGGGACCTTCTCAGTAAAGTCAATTTTTCGTTTGTCATCAGCGTAAAGTAGAAAAATGAGATGAAAACCTAAGCAGAAGGAAAGAAAAAGCAAACAATAGGAAGCCAAGTAATTTGAAAGCAAAAATTGACATTTATTCTATCAATGTAAGCTCCAAATATGCAGAATTTTGATAAATAATCTACTCATCTAAATTAGCATTATTACAAACTTTGCCTCTTGAAGTAAACTTGATGTGGGAATGCTTGAATTATTAAACTGCTTGAATTATTAAATTGATTATTAAAGTATCAATTCATTAACTGAAATTGTTCAAGTGCCAATAAATGTGATTGCTTTTGAAGAGATAATTAATGTGGAAAAGTCCACATTAAAAGTCCTTAAAAGAGGCAGATCAGAAATAATTTATTGCATGTTTAAATTAATTTTATTAGACATAACTCAGAATGAAAAATATATGTAAACACCCTCCATAGTTGAAGGAATGAGCTCAGAAATAGGTAGTGAAGGATTGACAGAAAAAAATATTTTATCCCACAGGCAGTCAAGGAACAATATTCTTGTTAATAAAAGCTTATTGTAATCAGAGATGGCCTGAGCATGCCAAAGTTCAATTAATGAACATAACATAGAAGGGTCCATTTTTAAGAAATAAAAAACACTTAAAGGGGGGAAGAATTTAAACAACTTTAATTTGAATCTTTACCTCTTGTTTGTTAAAAAAAAAAAAAGTTCCCTGATCAAAAGTAAACAAAATAAGCATGCAACTAATTAAAAATTACTCCATTCCAAAACAAATTAGGTATAATCTTTGGATTCCAAAATGTAAATATTTATGCTATGCAACATAAGAATGAGATGTGAGGAAAAACAAAGTGACATTCATTATTTCTAACTGCAGGATCTTCACCTAGACAGAAACTGGGAGAAAAACTCCAAAATTACAATCAATGTAAGTGTATTGAAAATGTCACTGTCTTATATGAAAGAAGTCAAATATATATATTTTATTATGTATTTTTAATAATTTTATCAAATTATTTATAACCCACATTGATTATTAGAAATAATGCCAAATATGAAACTTAAATAGAAGATCCTAATTCTTCTGGTAGTTTTACAAATCTTTTTATCAGTAATACAACAATAGGGAAGGGATAAAACTCAGAGATTGAAGTACCTGCACACAAGTTATTTTACCACACTATCCTGTGGATATTGGATATTGTATTGGATAAGGTGGTACTTAATGACTTAATATCCTTAAATTTAGTAGCAGCAGCTAAAAGACCGCATACACAATACCAGGTACAAGATACCGGTAGTCACCAGTTTAATAATGAGTTCCGTTCCCAAGGTCTGTCCTTAAGTCAAATTTGTATGTAAGCCAGAACAGTATTACTGTGTAATTAACTTGAATCATTGTGTATTTAACTGGTATCACTATGTATTTAACTAGAATTTTGCTACAATAGTCTCCATTCTTAACTACAGGTCATCCTTAAACCAGGCATTCTTAACCTGGAGACTGTCTGTATCTTTTTTCAGAGTAATTTATTAAAAATTATAACTACAATGATAAAAAACTAATACAAACTAGAAAAAAAGAAAAAGAAAAAATAGAAGGTACAGAAAAGAAAAAGAAAATAGAAAAAATAGAAAAGAAAAAAATAATATAGTAAAGAAAAAGAAAAGAAATATATAAAGAAATGACTTCCCCTTCATCACAAGTA